AACACTTTATTATCAATTCTGCTTGCTGTATTTAAAATGCGTACGGAATTTTGATTCATTAATACATCGATTTTCTTGGAATATATTTTTTTAATAATATTGATAATAATAAAGTTACAATTTCTTAAGAACTTTGTAAATATTTGCCAAAAAGTCCAACGGCAATCTATTTTAATCTTTCCAAAAAAATATAAGTTTTCTTCATATCGATACATTAGCGTTTTGCGAATCGGTTTTATTAATTTAGCAGTGAGAAATCTTACCTTGAGAAAAAGAGTCACACAGTCTCACATGAGTTTATTTATTAGGCGCACTTGTAAGTTCACGATTGAAGATCGCCAATGTGAACAATGTATTATCACTTGACCGGAATCTTTTGACTGACAAAAAATTCCATCTGTGACTTTCCAAACTAAAAATAAACGAATAAAAGTAGACCAATTAAAAGTTTTATCCTAACATATAGCCTGTTCAGAGAGTCAGTTTAATATATTACTGAAACAGTGGTCCGTTCCGCAACTCTTGGATGTTTGATTAGCCTTCACCTCAGTCACAATTGACTATTAGGCAGCTGTCAATCGTCTTCTAAATCTTCCTACACTCCATTCTAGTCATTGATTGGAGGGCGAGGGGGGGGGGGTGAATTCCTAATTTTGAATGCCGAATGCCGAATCGGCTGCAGTAAGTCCATGTGGTCTTACTCATCATATTTATAAATAATTACCGTAAAATAATTTTTCCTAATATCGGCAATGATGGCGTCAATTTTTAACTTGCAGATTATTAAACCTGTAGTTGGGTGCATAAATTTAACCAGCAAAGCAATTCTTTGAGAGACCGAAGATTCAATTTTCCAACATTTAACATTTTCGTCAAAAGTTAGAACGAAATTTATCTTAAAAATGCACTAATAGTGCTTAAAATGGAACTCTTTTCCTATGTGCTTATTACTACCTACACTCTATGAATAAGGGGTGTGCGATAGACTTACCTCCACGTGGTGCACTCTGGGCAATGTATACTCATACGGCAAAAAAGTCTATTGACCGAGAGTTGACTTCTCACTTAGACCTACCATTACCCCACTGCATGTCATATTCAACCACTTCCACACTACTCACCTCACCTATTTTCTACCATTGTGTCTGTCCCTCACATATTTGAAACACTCTTCTGTCCCCTCTCCCCCTCCTTCATCCTAATTCTTCTCACTTTGATGTTCCTCCTCCCCTCTGTGAAGCCACTCTGATGTTCCTCCTCCCCTCTGTGAAGTGATTTTTTCTCACTTTAATGTTCCTCCCTTCTGTGAAGCTCGAAGTCAGCTAAAGGGCTAATGATAACTATCAAAACGCCGGCGAAGTCAACTAAAGGGCTAATGATAACTATCAAAACGCCTCCCATTTGATATAAATAAACTCTATGCATAAATTTAAATGATCATATCAACAGACATGTTTAAATCCCTATACTCCGGTAATTTTTCATTTTGCTTTTCTGCTGAGCATATTACATGAAATACTTAGAGGCATTTACTTAGTTGGCGAAGCCCAAATAGTATGGAGTGTCTAAAAAATATCTCCCAGCAGCTTTCAAAAGCACTTCTAAATGACAAAGAATGCACCAAACCGCCAGAAACTCAGTGGTTTGCCTGAAAATTTAGTGATCAATCATGTTTAACTGAGTGCAATGATCCCCACTAAATGTCATGCAATACTCAAAATCCCTGGGTCAGTCTAAATTCCCACATGTTTTAGAAGCTAAAAAATTGGCATTTTAACGATTTTTAGTGAAATTTAATTCAAACGGTTCTACTATTTTAATGTAAATATTCAATTAAGCATCCAATACTGTGAAATAGAAGCTTAGTAAGCTAGAAAAGTCACTAATAGGATTACTGAGATGTTGATGATGACTGCTAACCGCATTACCTTACCAATTTGATTTCCCAGATAAGTAGCACCTATCCGGGGGGGAGGGGGGGGGGTAATTAAATAAGGGTAAGGTTTGGGCAGAAAAAAGTAATCCTAATCTCATTTGATCTTTTACTGAATTTCTCACAAACGTTTCACTCCACGATTAAATTCAATTCCTCTTTTTTTATTACTCTTTAACAGCCTCTCCGAATTGGAATCCAACAAAGTTGGTGGAGGGTAATTTGTCAGACAGATGTTGGGGAGAAAAAAACCCCACTGGTCAATTTTCATTCACAAAATGTCCTCGACTATTTTATCCCACTAATGGCAATGCGAAAATGCCTTAGTAAAGCCAAATGCTTATCTTACATGTATATGTCATCAAAACAAACTATAACAAGATGTAAACACAAAATAGAATCAATCACATTCGAATCGCAAATTAACATTCCATAGATCACTAGTTTACGTCTAATTTTCAAAATGAACAAGGGTCTATTTGCCAATTATATCTGGAAGAGGGTGGAAGATCTAGAATTTTTCACCAGAAAGGCCTCACGGTGTCTCTCCGTCACCCTTTATTTATTTATTTATATCAACTAGCGGACTTTAAGATAGTTATCATTTGCCCATTAGTTGACTTCGGGCTTCATAGAGGGGAGGAGGAACATCAAAATCACAAAAGCCGAGGGAGAGGGGGGGGGGAGCAGTAGATTGATTCACAGGTTCAAAAGAGGCAGACCAAAAGGTCGATAAAAAGGTAAGGTGAGGTGAGTACTGTGAAAGTGGTCGAATATGGCAAACAGACGGGGCAACGGTAGTCAATCGGAAGTCAACTGTCTTTCTATAGACTTTTTGCTTATGGATATGAGTTGTCCAGATTGCACCACGTGGGGGTTTGTCTATCACACCCCCCCCCCATCTCCATTATCCAAAATAAGCGTTGGAAAATGCTTCCTTTATGTACTTGTCAATTTTTCCCTTATTTGGGTCCATTGTGCTTGAAATGGTAATGCTAATTGAATAAATATGTGTTACGTTATTAAGGACTTAATTGAGGAGAAAACTATCTGCCGAAAATTCGAATTTCCACTTTTCCCTCTCCTTTCATTTGATAAATGTTGTTCCATCGTCCCGTCGAATTCTTACCATGAACGGATATTACATCTATTAACATCCTCATATTGTATGCCTTTCTGTATTCGCAGAAAATGCTATTTGCTACTTGATACCGGCTTGAAAGTGTGTGGAATCTAAGTGATTTTTTTTTGCTTTGGGTTTTAAGCACAAAAATGTCAAAGAGCGATATTTACTGACACCAAACATTTTTTTAATACCAAGATTAATTTTCCAGGAACTGGACTATGTTGTTATACACTTTGTAATAAGATTTAAAATTTTGATTCCTTCAACTGCCGTATTTGCCAATTGATTTTAAACTAATTTTAGTATGTAATGGAACATTGTTGATGAATTACTTGCATAGAGGCAAATTCAAAATTAGTTTTAATTTCAAATTTATCATTGCACCTTAATAACAAATGTCAAGCGGGAGAATGGAACACCCCCCTCCCCCCCCCCATCCCCTCCCCTCCTCTTCCCCTACTGTTTCCTTTAACATAAACAGGCAATGAATGTCATTATTTCACACCCCTTTGTCTCTGCAACAGTGGTGGGGGAGCGTAATATCAATAAGTTATAAACTAGCACAGACCATGTCCTCTTCCATTTCATAACACAATAATATCCTACAAAGGTAAGAAAGTGAAACATTGCACTTTGAAGAATTGACATTTTAAGAAAATCTCTCTTGAGATTGAAAATTTTGCCAGGCGTAGCTTCACGATTACGAAAGCATACTAATTTGAATTTGGTACGAAAGTATTTCTACATATTACCAAGAAAAATGCAGCGCTACACCACAATCAGAATCTGAATCACCTGTTCAAATTTCCAGTCCATATGTGGTCATGTAAGTTGATTCGGCCTCATATTGATTTATTGATTTTACCGACTCCATCCAGTCAATAGAAATCGTTGCAAGAAATGCTCAAGTGTGAAATATGTTCACTTAAATGGACTATCTACAACAGAACCAGCACAGAATGTGTCACATCACAGCCAATTATCACTATTCATTAAAGAACTTCCTCAATTAAAGGAGATTGCAAGGGATGGATACAACAAAGATGTCTTAATAAAATGCAAATCACAAAATTTTCAAAGAAACTGAAGAAGAACTACTTTTACAGATTCTAGAAATTTGACATCAATTCCTGAGAAAATTTTGACTGAAAAGTTGTGTATGGTTGAGGCGCCTCGTTCGAGAGGAGTGAACCTTGTAACTCAGGCAAACAACAACGTCACACCTTAACTCCGCTAGATCATTTACCAAAGTCAAATACTACTTAATAAGTTTGAAAATATGGTCAGGAAAAAATGGCGTAAATTTTGGATAGAGTGACTAGACCTAGCTGTTTATTTCGATCAATAAATGCAACCATTATGAATTTCCACCCCAAACAGACAAAAAATATAAGCTCACATATATGACCCAAGTCACCACAATGTGGTTAATTACCTTTTGATCTTCATTCAATGATCAAAGTTATTTAATAAAGCACCGTCATTTGGTGGGATATGAGACTTCCCTACCAAAAAAGCCGGTCTTTACCTATCATGTCCGGAACACGCAAACCCCTACAAAATAATAAGGCTCTACAGTCTGCCCAAATTACTCCAAATCCTTCTTTTAATTCTAATGGGAAAGCTTCTCCACCCATTTCATTAATGCTTCCATACTAGGAGTGCCTTTTTAGCTTGCATGTCCCAAGTCTGGCTGTTGTTGATGTTGCTGTTGCCTACTTTTGTAAAGAATGCTAAGTTAACTAAGTCACAAAAACCCATGATACATTTTTTGTTGAAATATACGTATGTACAAAGCACGCGTGCGGGAAGGTTCATTGCACGCGAGGCCATATATAAAGGGAAGAAGAATAGGGAGGCAGTATGTCCCAGAGAAGAGGAATCCAGTGAAGGGGTCCGACTGAGAACGGAGAGTGGGAGGAGGAGAGAAGTACAGTCCAATCAGACTCGAAAGTCACTCGTCCCCGTATGTTCGCAAGAGGAATGTAGAAGGGAAGAGTTTGTTGTGGGATTTGAACTGGCCTGATTATTGTTTCTTGGATTCACAATTCTATCCAGACTAGCAGAATCTCCTGACGATACAGTCCCATCTCCAAATATCTGTTCTGGAGTGTCGTACTGGTCTAAGGATAGCGAGAGTTGTAGTTGAGCATAGGGAGTCACTAAAGAACAACTATCGTGTTGTGGAGCAGCAGACCGGAAAAGGGCAAGACTCGTTGTATTTGGTTGTGGAGATGGTATACTTGGGCAAGTGTGATCTCCACCTTGCAATGCTGGAGGCAATGCAACATTCGCCCGACGAGCTTCAAAGTCCGGAGTTATCAGTCCCCCAGCTTCGCTACTTCCTGAAAGGCTCGGACGTTCAAGATGCGAAGTGTGTTGCATGGAAGGGGTGAGACCATTATGAAGGAAGAAAGCTGGTGTAGAATTAATGTTGCTCCATCCATTAACCACAGAGGAATGTGTTGGAAGAGAACTTTCGGCGGTAGATGGATTATTTCCGCTACTGCCACTTACACTTGATCCTGTTCCATAGGCATTTTTCACTTGATGCAGCGGAAAGCCATGTTCAGGTGAATGGGAAGAGTACGTGGTTGGCTGAAGAACCGGCATCATTCGATTTTGTTGGAGACTCGTCGCTTGAGTAGAAGGAAGAGTTGGTGGAGTTGCCACAGAACCTTGCATAGAGCTATGATAAGTAACTGGTGTTTGGGAAGATGTGGCGAGTTGATCGTGAGACAGGTACTGTCGGAAATGCGCTTCAGGACTGGCTTCGGTGGCCATTGCTGGCGTTGTAGTCGGAGTTTGGTGGGATAGTACCTCGTCATAGACATTTGTGGTTGGGGCCGTTATCTTATTTTGAGGTCGCCTCCAGACGCACGAAATACAACATGATCTAAAATTATGCCAAGGGAGAAAATGGTAAATGTGGTGATTCATTCTACGTAATGAAATTGAACTAGTGGAGGGATATAAAAAAATTCCGATTGCGTAATTGGAATATAAAGTGGACAAGTGATAAATACATAGCTTGCTTAAGGAGGCATATTTAAATACGATATCAGAAATACCTGTAGTTCATTTTAATCGAAGTAAGTTGGCAAATCTGATTTGTTAACAACCAATTGCATTAGATAACAGTGAGATCTTCACAAATCAAGATTTATCCCCCTATTCTCAGTTAACTTTGCAGGAGGACATAATGAATACTCACCTGTCGGATGTCTTGGAGCCGACGGTTTGTAGGTTCGGTCCAGTTGTGGTCGGCAGATATTTCAATTGTTGAAGATGGATTTGCTGTCCGTTACTTTGAGAGGGGGAGTTGATCATCCAACCATGTTGAAAATCATTCGAGGTAGGCTTTTGGGTTTGTTTCATTAGTTCCAGCTTTAGACGACGGTGGCGTTTGTGTAGGATAACCACAACGTGAAGCAACACAGCAACTAACATGAGAATTATCAGACAGACTGCGATGGCAATGTGAAGTGGCTGAAAAACGATAATTGGCTGTTTCCCTTCCTTTTGTTCCTCATCTTTATTCTCGCTCCCCTTGTCTATTTGCTTTAATTGAATTGGTTTTCTGTAGGCTTCCTCTAGTTTCACATGAGCATCTCGATTTGTAGTTTTAACTAAATGAGAAGCAAAACCTTGATTAGGTTATTTGTAAAACTCTCCAGACTGTATTGAAAAGCAAGTAGTTAACTCAGTTATAGCTAACTGCTCGAATGGCTTGAAAACTATCCTGCCAAGTTATGAGTTTAATTGAACGGTGGTGTTTATTTAATCGCCAAAATCAGCTGTCCCACAGGCCACCCATCTACTCAAGCTGACAGTTGATAAACTCGGGAATTCCGTGTCTCATCTGCATTTGCAATAAACTATCAACTGGCAGACGTTCAATGAGTCAGGATGGTGCTCTGTCAATTAGGGAAGACCACCGTGTGCCCGGCTCGGCCAGGAAGCGTGGGTTTGGCCCTAATGGACAGTATTCCCGTCTAGACATCAGTCTGACACCTGTAAGCAAAATTAACCCCATACCCCTTTCATATAACAAATTAGTCACCCCCCTCCTCCCTTGTTGGAAAATTTATTCTAAATGAACTCAAAATAAAAGTACACAATATTCATCCTATTTGCCATTAGAATAAGAAATGAGATAAGGTATGAGTAGACACGATGAGTTTTCTGTATTGTCCCAGGGGAAAGTGAATGGGAAACATAAGGCAAACATGCGTGGCATGAATATTATCATTAATTCAACCCAGTAGTGTAGAATTTCATGACGGTAATCTGAGAAAGTCCGTCCTCTCTCACCCCCCCCCTCCCTCCTTCCCTCCCTTCCTACCAGACCTTCCGTTAATTTAATGAATCGAAGAAAAGAAACATATCCGGACGGGATTTAAAATGGAAACAGTCCGCTGGCCTAGGTGCATAATTAAAGTGGACCTCTCTACTCTCCCCACTAACCCCCTCCCACCCCCCTCTTCCCCCCTGGGAATTGTCGTCTTACTAGAGTAAAAGGGGCACCCACAGCAGTCAGTGAGTCATTTCTCTTGTGATTGTTCAAAAGGCGATGCAAGTCTGATTGAGAATCTTGCCACCGGATATGAGTCTGGTCTCTGCATTTAGAACCCTTCAAATTGCTTGTAATTTTTTGCTGGCTACTAGGCAAAAAAAGGGGAGAAATGGAGATGATTGACAGAAGGGGTGTACGGAGATCACATGTCAAAACAGCAGTTAGAAGGTAGAAAATATAAATTACGGATTAAGATACGGGGGGTGGGGGGTGGGGAGCGTCTGTCAATCAGAGCATAATTCACGGTAGCTAATTCTGGCTATGGGTAAATTGAAGTGCACGCAATAGGAGCAAAGTGTGTCTTTATTTGATTTCACATGAAGAGTTCGATTCGATTTTTCATTGGAACTTCCACAGTGGCGGAGTTTCAAGAACTCAGTCAATTAAATTTTCACTAATTGTGCAGCTGCAATTGACTGCTTTGGTTTTCAAGCATGATTGATCTGTGCTCATTTTGAAACATCTGTTGAAGATTTCGCTGTCTAAAATTTCTACTTGTCCAAGAAGCCTACTTTTAGACAACATCGAATAGCAAATATATGCGACAGAAAGTGACACAGTACTGCTTATTCTTGTCAGCTAGATTTAATGATCGAATACGACAATGATTAACCCTAAGATATAGAATACAACAATGATTAGAGTGTCCAGTTTCGAGTAAAGAAGACACGTTTTCCAATAAATCTGCTCTTCCTAAATTCTCCCCACTATCATTAAAAAAAGGCAATGCTACTAACTAGACTATTCAATTATTGAAATTGCCTGATTAATTCCAGAAAATTTTCACTCATAAGATGCGTTTGCAAAAGAAGTGTGGAATAGGTGGAGAATTCCATTAAATAATTCATTTGTCTTCTGTGTCAAAATAAAATCCCACCCCACCCCCACACACGCGTCTTATTTGAACTGGTGAAAAATTGCTGTTTCAATGAAATGATAAGGGCACATTACAAATTTCGAAGTGTCAAACTACCGATAACAGGATGCGAGTTCTGAAGCAGAAATCAACACCAAAGCATCAAATACGTTCATTACTGATGTCGACTTGTACCGAAAATCTCTTTTTTTCATGAAATTTATGTCTCTATTCATCCAACGTGTATATTTGTACTTGGACAATTGATCGTACTCGTACTTAAACAAATTAAATAAATCTGTATTGATGGAAATCAATTCAGAACCGAGGCCCTGAGAATTTGGATAAGATAAATAATAACTGAGACTTACCATGTGTTCCAAAACTTGTGGACGGCAGTTGGTCATGAGAGGAGGGTGGAGGGAGAGGATTAGACACAGTAGGAAACCACTGATGGGCAAAGGGAACATCATTGAGATATTGCGGTCGTTTCCACTGTTTCTGTTGTGAATGCTCAGTATTCTCTCGCTTCCTGTGCGGTGGATTCAAAACAGAGTTCGATGAAGACGCTTTCGGAGATTCTCTGAATGAGGTGAAACCATTTTCTACCATTGGGAAATCTAATCCTGGCTCCAGGTCTGAAATCTCCGCGTTGAGAAAGAATTGTCGACCTTCCAGTTCAGCGGGAGTGAATTCAAGCTTCTGGTAGGTTTAAAAGGGCGCTTAATTTGCCAAAATTGAGAGGGGACATCTAAATCTATCTGAAAACCATTTTTACCTGGCTTATTTCACAATAATTGTCCGAACAGCAACGAATAATAGTTGAACGAGAATCACCAACAGAATTGACATCCCCAAAGCCCTCATCACCATTAAAGACATTGTTCCTGGGATTCATGCAGAGATCCATTTGTTCATGAGAAGCACAACCCCGTTGTTCGGCAATGAAAAGTTTACTTCCTGCACCGTACATTGCCTTAGAACTCAAAGGTTTCTGTTCAGTTGGTCTAGCGGGTCGAAATGACACATAGCAGTAGAAGTCGGCTTTGCATTCAGTGACGTTAGCAGCTCGACACTCCGCGGTGTCGCATTTACACATGATGAAGCCTAAATATATTAAAAGGTAAATAAATAGTAGCGTCTTGACGACAAAAAAGGGGAGATACCCTTGATCTATCTGTCTAGCCCACTTTTGGGGTGACACGCTACTGAGACCGCCGTTGAGCTAAGATCTTTGAGGGGCGCAAACATCAAAGCGGGTTAGATTTGGTTTCCTGATAAAGACGATTAATGAGAAAGTCACAGTTAAGGCGATTAAAGGGAATCTCTTTCAGAGGAAAACAGATTGAAATTAGGCCTCAAAATGAGTCAAGATGTTTTGATTAATAGCGGTAAAATTTATGCCATAAAACCAGGTTTTACTCGTTATTTACCTACTTCTGGAGTCCCAAAAATCGCAACAATGATTTAACCAATTTCCCTTAGCGAAAATGCATAAATATCGTCTCTTGAATAAACTCAAGTCCTAAAAAAAATTTATAACCTCAGGCTGTAGTTTAAGTGCACAAAGAAGTGGAGGGAAATTTGAATTGCAGAGGTCACCATGCCAACCGTGGGGCGTAGCGACCTTGTACTTGATAATTTTTATGGGAAATATGCGGTGGTGGTTAATAAAATTCGCACAGAGTGCAGGTTTGAGGTTTGGTAAAACTCCTTCTCGGGTAAAAGGTAACCGAGGCCACCCACGTGGAGTTAGTACCGCATTAATGTCTAAATCTTTAATCAGGCCAGCGGCAATAAGTACCTTAAATCAACTTTTAACTGGAACAACAATTGAGTGTAGTTGCCTTCCACTCAAGTGAAATCAGAATTAGCAAGAATACTGAATTTAGTTAAACTTTAAATTCCAATCGACGTAAAACTCAAAGCCACGGATGACCGTCCCGCTAGTTGGCTCAAATTCGAATAAACACCAGCGTTTAAATAGTAAATAAAATTGCCTCTACCGTTAAATCAACTTCTAATGTCTAAAAGTAGACCTTATACCTATATACTTGGGCACCTCCTTATGAAACATGCCACGGTAAATGGTCACAAGCCCGTTTTTTAAACTTGGAAATTTCAGGGAGAAACGTAGAAGTACATCGCAAAAAAATGCAGGGAGGGAAGGAAACTAGCGTTTATTTTACCACTGACTTTGACACGCGTGTCACGGTTAAGGAACGTTTTGACCTCCTCCGCTGCCCGTTTTAGGAAATTATGCAAAATTCAAGGGTGATAGGTTCCAAAAACAGTCATTCAAGTGCGAAATTGGGCATTAGTGGGCAGTAAAATGCACAAATTAATGCGGACTTAAAAATGCACACCCATGGCGCATTCTCAATTTTTTTAATCAGCAAAAGAGTTTGGAGTGGAGGTAGTGACTACGCCTCATCCGATTACAGAAACCCTTTCTAGATCAAGGCCACCCTGGTTATTACATTTAGAACAGACGTCAGTGACATGAGGATTCAACTCGCAATGTTCGTATCAAACACACCTGGGGGGGGGGGGGCGTGTGTAGCCGGGTCCAAAGCTTTCATAAAACACCTCTATTACTCAGATATCTTTCCACTAAGAAACAATTAGACTTGGTTTAACTGGCAGTTTCTGACTCGATTACACTGATATCGATATTGAAAAAGACGTCGATTCGTGGACGTCTTCTTCCTTACATAGATTCCAAACTACTAGGGAAACTTGGATAGAATTTGAAACTCTGATAGATGGTTATGACAAAAATGGACAGCTCTAACGGTCAAGCGGCGTTTTTCCTCCGGGCAATTGGATGATTAAGGTCGATTTCCACATTTACCCTATTTACACCATTAGGGGGAACCACCTGATTGGCATTTAGTTCCCATAGGAAACAAATCAAGCGGTCAATTCCTGATGGTGGTCTTAAGTTGAAGGGTTGGGGGAGGGGGGGGGGGAGAATGAAAGGAACGAGTCAGCCTAAACTAACTTAATTCCCAATGAGGTCACAGTCTGTGACTCCCCAATCTGACACATCGAGTCTGGCCTCGTGGGTAAGAGCTAATCTTACTTAACCTTGCAACAACTTGCAACTTTTCTGTACGAAAAATGAACGCGGATATCAAGCTCCATATCTGTCAAGTGAATCCCTATTTCAAGGTAAGGCAATTAATTAATGGCCTGGTTCATTATTTATATAATAATAATATTAAAAGAATGCATAATGAACATACCGTAAGCTTAACTCAAAATGCAAATACCACATCCACAGTAATTTCTCAAGCTATATTCGGAACTCAATTACAGAAGCACTGGTGTTGATTTTTGCATAAAACTTCTTGATAATCCATCTAGGCAGTATCTTCTTTGGTAATCCAATCAATATTTTTGCACTCGAAACACTTAATTTTGACCTTAATTGCGTGCTAATAACAGTGGCGATTTTTCAATACCCCCTAAGTTTTATTGAATTTCTCTCCTGGAGGTAAGAAGACTACAGGCAACTACTAATACCATTAAGATATCCAACATTGGCTCAAGAGTCTTGAATTCACTCATTGCCATCTTATTGAAACGATATGAAATGCGGTCAATCTCCAACGAGAGTTGTACGTTGAAATGAACTCAAAAGGATACCCAATTAGATCCTTTTTCATAAAAATTGTTATGATCAAATAAGCATTGTTACCCAAACCCATAACCATTTTTAAGCTTGCATACTCTTAGTCTACTTGACTGTGGTCCAGGGACTGAATCATCTCAAGAATATGGTTGTGTAATTGCTGTATCACGCTTGGATCCATTTGATTGAGATCGGAAAAATTATAGCCATAACTGACAGCGAAATGAAATCAACATGATGTTTCATTAAACATGATATTTTAGACGCCAGCAGATGAAAAAAAACACAATATGAATGTATCATCTACACAGTGTACAGCTTTCATTCCATTCTATTGGTGTAAAATATGGACAATTAGCTAGCCAGAGAACGTAAATGGTATTATAAGCAGCATCATCAAAATGAAATTGGAATCGTCTTCTGACCTTTACTCTGAAATGTCCCTATTTCGATTTATTTCAATCTTGGTACTTATGATAGATCGCAAAGATAAGTGCATAAACTCACCATGAACAAACGGCAAAAGCCAAATGAGGAGAAGTGAGATAATCCACAAATCAGAATTAGAGAACATATTAACCGGAGAGTGTTGAAATCTCATAAACATAACATTTATAGAGGAAAGCAGTAGGATGAGATTCAATGACGGAGAAATAGGATGACGCTACACAGCGTGGAGCACAAGTGCGACTGAGAAGACAGTAGGACAAGACGGCGTGTGTGTGCGATGGTGTTGAATAGAGATGTAAGACTGGAACAGTGCATGTGTGGTCGCGGGCGTACGTGCGTGCGCACGCGTATACGTGCAAACGTGCGTGCACTTGCAACTGTATGCGCAGAAATCGTGCCCAGGCATTACCCAATCACGGAGTGGTTTGCGCACTGACCAATCTGCAGGAGATCAGGTGTGCTAATGCCTCATCGTTCATCCCTCTCTTCTGGTCCCCGCATGAGCCCCCGAACCACCCACAATTTGAATTTACGACTTGAGTAGCCGGTCCTCGTTCCTTCTTTTATCCTTTTCATTTGGGTGTCTATCACCCATCAATAAAGTGGGAATACGTCGATATTTTCCCCAGACCATTTTACTTGGGGCTAGCTATTTTACTCTATATAAAATGAGGAGCAAAGATCTATAAACTGGTATTTTGTCTAGATTATCTACAGAAAATAGACCAATAAACGTCATGCTCTTAGGAAGGGTTATTGCAATTAGAAGAAAAGGAATATCTTGTGCTTAATAAGTGGGAAGTAAGAGCTTAGGAGAATCAGAAAGGTAGGTAAATCTTGTAATCAATAAGTAAATTGAAAGCTTTAGGCCTCGGGCTTCCGATTTCCTATGGGCACTAATCAAACATCTCAGAAATGTCACAAGGTCAAATTTTAGTCATGAGGGCCGGTTGACTGGATTAGCATATCGAATGGAAGAGGGGTAAGATGCTCCCCCCTTTAGTTGCCTGGGTTAATCCTTTCCACTGTTGCCCTAGCTTGAATGTCATAAAACTGATTTTGTAGAATTATTGAAAATTACGGGTTTTGAAATACGGGTAGCCTCACTCAACGTTGTCATTGTCAAACGAAAAATTAAAAAGCTATTTAAAGTTGATGGCATTACGGGTAAATTATCCCTCTCATTGATTTTTAATAAAAATTCAATAAATCGGTCTTTACGATAAGCCTGAAAAGAATTACGAGCCTGAGTTGCTACTTAATAAAGGAGAAAAGATCTTAGTTCAAAGACCTAAGTTCTCGGTTCAAGTGCAGAAAACAATAATCGATAATTAATTTGCACGTGAGACAAGAAAATATTTTTCCTTTGAGCCCTTCAAAAATATTCGTCCAGTTTTCGAACTGGGGCAAAAGTCACCTTCCCACTAAATGCAACTTCAATTATCTCCACGTTATACACTTGTTCAAGTCGATGGCGATATGATTCCATAATTAAGAAAATAAGTAATTTATTGATAGGAAAAACGCACATAATAGGAGATGTTTTTTTCTGAAGTCGAATAGAGCATTAAATTTTAGGTGCTCAAAGCGTCGTCTTAGTACCCGATGCAAAGCACACAAAATAAAGTTTGAGGATACAATGTTGCCATAATAGACAGCAGCAATCGATTTCCACCGTTTGTAATCAAGTCGGCCATCATCCTTATCTATCAATACCTCCGACAGAATGGTAGTCATTTGGGCCTAGAACTGTTATCAATTAGGCCGTGCTTTCATCTAAAATTCGCAATAACGTTAATAGAGCCATATTCTTTCCTATTTCTCTGAACCAAAGCTAACTCTCAGCCTCAAAAATTGCAAATCAATCTTGAAATTATTCATTCAAAGGGCGAGAGATAACATCAACTTGTTTAAAAGCTGTCAGTCATCATGAAAATTTACTCCACTCACAAGATGGATAGGAAAATAAGATAGGGGTTGGAGCGGGGGGGGCCGGAATATGAGTAGCCATCACTCTTCTATTCCTCCTCCTCCTCCTCAAACAGGAAGCAAACACCCTAGCTGTTGTCCGCTTACTCATTGCTGAACTTGCAGGCATCTTGAAACCCGGCCACCATGGTTACAAACAATCTGTGCATTACATGATACTCATTGTGATTTTTTCTTAAATTAGGCCTGTTAGGTGCAAAAAATGGCCACACAACTGTCTCTTCCCTACCACCTGTTCCGGTGGGGTGTGTGAGGCCTTTAAAATCAATGTTCAGATTAGAATATAGATACGACTTTCCCACAATAACTTATGAAACTTTCCCCCCCCCCACCCCCAACTTTTGAGTCTCATTCCTATGCTCCATGTTTTACCCGTGTTCAGATTTCAGTCCCATGGAAGTGGGGATCTAGATTTCTAATTTATTAGTTTTATTAAAGTATTGCTGGCTGCCAATCAAACTACATTCGACTTATCGTACTTCATGCTTCATGAGGTGCGCGATAGACTTACCTCCACGTGGTGCACCCAGGCAACGTATTCTCATACGGCAAAAAGTTTATTAACTGACAGTTGACTTCTAACGACAAACTACAATGACCCCACTGTATGTCATATTCTACCACTTCCACAATATTCACCTTACCATTTCCCTGCCTTTGTGTCTATCTATCTCTTTTGCATCATTGAATCGCTTTTCTGTCCCCCCTCTCGAATTTTTCTCACTTTGATGTTCCTCTCCTCTGTGAAGCCCGAAGTCAGCTAAAGGGCTAATGATAACTAACATAAAGCCTGCCATTTGAAATAAATTCATTCAAACTGAAGATTGGATGGTAACGTTTATCATTTGTTAAAGCGTCAAGGCAGAAGGACCAAAAGCCACTTTATTTTGATAACAATATTAAGCGGTGCTCAACATTCTTTCCAACTTTCATATGATTTGCCGCAATTGCAGTTCTTCGAATTATCTGAAAAAAACTCATCCCGATAAACATGAGGAAAGGATTTTATGTTCATCTCAACACTCTAATGAGGTGTAAAAGGATGTGTTATGCTACTCGAGCGAATGACTCAGCACATGGGAGTGGAAAGAAATGACATATTTTAGTGTGGCGGGAGCTGATTTCAAGGATTCTTCCTCCCTCTCTCTCGAACGTGAATGTGTCACAAGCCCACGTCTCCACCCCCCCCCCCCCCCCACCCAACAGCACTGACCACCCACCAACCCAGAGACGGGATGACAACTGCATCAGAGCAGGGCAGGACCGCAACGAGACAACTCACTCACACCCACACACAACTCAACTTCTTTTGGCAGGACATCCACTGGGAACGCACAGAAAATAAACGTGCACCATGTTCTCTTGACCCTTCCAAATCTTCTTGACATTCGATTGGGTGGCCACCACTGAAATGTAATTCGTTTTTTTTTCTCCGTATTTCGTTTGTGTATGCAAACACACGCTCACCCACACTGAATCCACGAAATCCGTTTTAATTAACATCACCCTCGCCCACTTAATTACGTGACTCATGATGATTAGGTTCTTTTTGAATAGGGAGAACTCATTACTCTTTTCCCTCTTGTCGCCTTGTCATTAATTAAATTAATATTAATGCTGCAAATCAAGCTAAAATTCAAGGTGAAATGAATTTTTTAATAATATTTTTTTTCGAGAAATAACAGAACTTACAACCAGAATTAAAGTACATGGTTTCTAATGGCTGAAAAACAGAAATGTTAGAGCAATTGTATCGCCCTGTGCTCATCTAAGGGTTCAGAGATTGGAGTTCTAATGAACACAGAATGAGCGAAATAACCAAACCCGCCCATTAAGTAAGCCTAACAAATAGGTGGCAAAGTTCGAGTCAGGAGAATTCTCTGATGTTCCTCCTCCTCCTCCTCCTCCTTCCCCCCCCCCTTCCGAGGTAGGCATTTGAAAAGCCATTATTTAATTGCATTATCATTCTTGACCACTACCTTAGTGGGGGAATTGGCGTATGATTGTGTAAAGATCAGTCGCGAATACTCCATCATATGCGTGCTTATTCATTGAATGTAAGCGCTCTGATGAAATGCAAGATGCATAGATTTTGTAAGCACCTTTACTAGTCATGTTCTACTTTTGTTAGTACCTTCCATGGAGAGAGAAAAAGTGCTTTTTTGCTTCCCCAACCGCCCCCCCCCCCCTCCTTACGATGACCTTTTGTTTGAACCCTTCGTTGTGACATCCATTGAATACGTGTAGCGATTCGAAGACTACACTTTGAAGTAAAGTTGAAAATGACTCTAGATGTCTTACATTCTATGCAAAGTATACCCAACAGTTTTATTCAAAAGATTCCGTTTCACTAGAACTCACTGTAGGGTTCAGCCTTTGTTAGTCTAAGCAACCATGTTTTCAGACCCATTTTCATTGAAGGCATAGATTCCCCTGAGTGATATTGATTCATATTTAACTAATCACAAAACTATATTTCCTTTTAATTTAGCTTTAAAAATGTGAAACAGTCTCCTGTAATTGCTCACTTGAAACTTTTTTCATTAAATAATATATTTGTGAATACATATGCCTTTGCTGTCTTGACTCTAAAATGGCAGTAAGGAACGAAGAATAATTTTTAAAAAATAATTTTGATTTATGTCCCCCTATTGTCATTTTCATTTTGTTTTCTATTTTATAAATTTTAATATAATTCAAATCCTTACTTATATTTTCAATAATGCGTCAGTGCTAATCAGTCGATAGTTGCATAATTATATATACATATATATGCGATAAATATATTCTTTTCTCTCTTAGGATTTCATGAAATTTACAAATGCCCAATAACTTTAGATTGGTGAGATGAGTTCAATTAATTTTTTTCTTAAAATCTCCTAGTCAATGGAGTGGAAAATTTTTCTCCAACATGCACTCACTCAAGAGTCAAAGGCTCAAATTTTGAAATTTAAGGAGTGGTACAGCGGTGCCCGAGGAGGGGGGGGGGTGGCCGGTCTGTTGTATGCGGAATTTAATTTGAGACGCCCTGGCTGCATTACACAACTCGAACTGTCGCCTTCACTTCCCTTCTTATGGGCTGCTCTATCCACCTCCCCCCCCCTCCCTCAAATATTCGGTTTTACATGATTAATTTTTCTTTATTTAACAAATCTTTGTTAGTAGTAA